TTGGGCATGAGATGAGAAATATATGAATAAAGTTTACTCAATGTCAACAATTTCAGATCAATTGTCATCCTTTATTTAAAACTACCGACCCGCCCCGGCCACGACCGGGTGCAATTTATTATACACAATAAACCTTCCTCTTCACTGAATCACTACCTAGTAAAAAGTCGCATCAAGATCCGTTGCGTAGTTTTAAAGATCTAAGCATACATAGGGACAGACCAACAGCGGGACTACTTTGTTTTATACTATGTAGTGACACAATTTGAGTTTTGTTTCATGCATTAACTGTTTTATGTCCCAATAAATGAAGAAAAAAACTCGTCCCAATGTCCAAAGATTTCCGCGGACTTATTGTGGGAGCTTTAATTCCTAATTGGAGACCCTGGTACCGAATGACCTCACGTGTTGACGATACCCCACGCACACGGTTGCTTATCGAGAGCACACAAAACCGAACTTTGCAAACTACGCCTCCTACCTTAAATGCAAAGAAAAGACCAAGGGCTATATCAAAGTAAACCCCCACAAACCATAGTCCTCAAGAATCTTCGGTGGAAAATGTTCCTTATCGGATCGTATTACGCCATAATATGTAATATTTACTTGTTATATTTAATGATAGTTTTGATACTATTGTGTACATGTTGTTTTTAGTGGAACTCATTAGAGACTTATGACTGATCTACACTACTCAAATGTAGTGTTCAATTCGCGATCCGAAATAGTCAAAAAATAGTCCACCAAATTTTCCACAGAGATTTGACTGACTTATATGAAATCCATATATCCTAATATTTCATAGAAAATCAGGTTTCCCAAGTAAATTAGTATTGCAACTGAATTAGCTCAAATATTGTTATAAACATTAGCGACATTGATCAAACTCAGATCGAGATTTGAATCAAGGTCTCCTTATGTAAGTCGGAATTACCAACCAATTGGCTGACGTGGATATTTGCCTATGGCAAAAGACGATCCAAGGTACAATATTACAATATAGATAATTGTAAGTAGTCTCTTCACACAAAAGACCATTCCATAAAAGTTAATTGCGATGTATTCGAGATTTTTCTTAAATTGAATCGACGGCTCGAGAAACTTTAGTTTTACCGAAGTCCTTAAGAGCCGTTGTTAATCGAAATTCGTCCTAATTCTTTGAAGCCTAGAGTGTTAAACGCGATGACGCTCTCATTGGTTCAGCACCGGATGGCGAATTGTACGCACGGACAAACACCGTGCGACGCGCCGTCCAATTGGCGAAGTATCAAACGTAGGGTCAGGCGTGAGTCAGCAAATGCCATGAGATACGGCAATCGGTGCGGTAACAGACTGGGCCTATCCTATATAAACATCGGTGCGTTTCGCCAGCGGGTCACCGAACTCGGTCGCATAGAAACTGAACTGTGCGCTTATGATAATGATTGCATTGTGCGATAACGCGATTGGATGGGGACGCCTTGGTTCGATAGTAGCGGCATCTCGCGTCGGCTTGCGACGTAGATTACTCTGGAAAACGAAAAAAAAAACCGGCTAAGTGCGAGTCGGACTAACGCTCGATGGGTTCCATGCCATATCTATCCATGCATCCATATGGGAGCTTTACTTAAATATCGATATATTCTGTTTTCAGTATTTGTATGTGCCACTATAACGGCAATAGAACTACATCATCTGTGAAAATTTCGACTAGCTAACTATCACGGTTCATGAGATACAGCCGGCAGCAGAGTCTTAGTAATAGGGTCCCGTTCTTCCCTTAAGTGCGGAACCCTAACAACGAAACGCTCTCGTAATTGATGGTGTCGATGACAGTTATTCAATGTATTACGCCATCACGAAATTATTCGTCATATATGCATTAGATTCGATAATTACTTTCTTGCGTCGTTCCTTCAGTGGTATACTGTTTCTTGTTACATATTATTTAACCCCTAAGCTCTCGGCCGTTTGTGAGCCGCGTACATAATGGCCAAACTCTGATTTCAATTAATTTTCAAAGTTGCGCATAAGAACTTCGCGAATAAGAATTTAAAATTAGTTGTAATTCTTCCACTACTCCTCCATGGTTTATAAGTAACAGCTTATATACGTCCTACAGCTGGGCAAAGGCCTCTTCTGTGGAGGTATTGAGGCATAGTCTACGACCTCACTGCGCACTAGCAGACTTCACATATCTGCGATACATTTTCTTTCTGTTACTATTTCTAAAATATCCCTCAAGCTGTTTTACTGCACCGGACGTGATAAACCAGCACTTAAGATTGACAATTTCATTTGTGCCAGCAACAATTTAATTTAGATTGCTAGAGTACGTTGAATTAAAAGCGAGCGCCCGGACACTGAGCTATCACGACTGTTTACAACCACGGCTCAGTGAGCTATCCGATGGTCGGTAAAGGATAGAAAAAAAGATCTAATTGACGTCTATGACAGGCGTAGGTGTTCTAAAATCAAATTCGCAATCGGATGGAAATAGAATCGCGGTTAAACCAGCCATTGTTATACGAGTAGGCAAAATGTGCCCGAACGTTTGCAATACAGCGTAAATCAAATACAGTATAGATAAATCAACAATCAACGGCCCATGTTATAAAATTATATAGTGTAAACGTTTCGATTGTTATTTAATATGTACTTGCGGACCCAACAGACGTTTTTCTGTACACACGTCTTAAATCAGACAACTTATAAATAAAAAAATATTTAAAAAACGTTACAGTATGTCTCTTTGTTTTCTCGGTATGGTATCTCTATGGATAATGTTTTAGAATATATCTTGTTCAGTGATTGAGCGGAGACGCGGGCGCAGGTAGTGTAATTAGTTAGTGTAATTAAACATTGGTTGTTGTCTGCAGGCCAATCTCGACACTGGCGAATCCTATTACCTTTAATCTCGAATTGCAGTCACCCGACACTGCAGATAGCGCGACCACACACTGCACTCTTAGTAACAGTCTAAACTTCCCTTGCATGAAACTTCGAGCAGAATTGAAAGGATCGACTTTAAACCGCCATATTGCATTTAATATAACGGTCGGTAAAGTTCAAGTTTGACTATAAAATGTAAACTGTCGAGAAATATGTGTCGAACACCAGTTTATTATTTGTCTTTTTAAGTAAAGAAAAGCAATAAATAAGAAACTATTAATATACTGCCTTGCTGCTTTAAATAAATAATAATTCTTGTATCACTCAAAAAATATACATTTATTTCGTATTTCATAAACAAATAGAAAATATCAAAATTGGTAGCAAAATATCTTTCATTTTGATGGGGCCCATAAATTTTACGAGCGCTATGTGGTAAAAAATTCAACGGAAATAAAGTTTAATTTAACAGACTTTCGAACTAACAGTACCGCGGTAAGACGCTGAATGATAAGTGAAAGCAAAGTTCGTCAAATCAATTACTCGTAGTTTCGACACCGTACCCAAAAGTACCGGCACTCGTAAATATTTACTGGATACCAAGAACTTAATTGAAAAACGCCCTCGTAATTATATTACTTGATACCATAAACTCCTATGAAAAATCGACAGATGAATAATGTGCAGTAAAATACGCTAACATAAAACTAGTCATGTGTATAATCAAAAATCTAATTTCAATCAAATCTCTGGATAAATTCGAATTTACATAGCTACTTCAAAATTTCGTCGATATAAGTTTTTGTTAGAAAAGGGGATTTATTAATATGACTTCAAGTTTTGAAGGACTCTCAGAAATGTAAGATGGTATTTAAAAAGTGGATGATAGTTTTTTTGTAATAATAATTCATTGACATCAACGATAGCCCAGTCTTACAACCATCTTGACACCTATCAAAAATGATTCCCACGGAAAAAACGGTAGGTGTTTTTACGGTTCGCGAACGATTTTTGTACCTTTTTTACCTCGCCCCATTCGAAAGGCAGGCAGATGTAACCACCGTTACAATGACTAAGCAGTTTCTTTTTGGTCCTAAATGAAGATGGTACCTGATCTAAAGATCTGGCGAAACGGCAAAACTATCCAATCGCCGATAAAATCTGCATTATTAAAAAAAGGATATACGCAAAAGTACGTGTCCATTTTTTTTTTGATTACCTATAGAGGAAATTTTCCTCTACACAAAGTATTATAACGAAAAAAAAAAAAACACGTTCATACAAATAAACAAGTTCCTTGTCAGAAGCATATTATGTTTAAAAATGCAAAGAAGAATATTTAAATACATGATTATTTCCTATTACTAAAGCTTAGATATTCGTGTAGTCGTCGTTTTAGGATTTTACTTCGTAATTTTTAAACGAGTACGTATTAACAGATATCGCAAATCATGAATAGAAGGACAGGCGTTCGAAACGAGCGAGGGGCACAGGTAGATGGGCTGAATGACACTAATACTCTAATAATAATGGCTGCTTTGGCTCCCATCCTAGCGCAGACTATGGATGTGGCGAAAAAAACTGAAACAAAGCGGTTGCCGTCATCGTTGAATTGTTTTGGTTTTCTATTTATTATTTATTTAGTTTTTTTCGCAACCTAGCACCCTACTACTGACTATTTACAGCGGGGCGCTTTTCGGTTCCATTAATTTCCCCCCCTTCTTTAGTTGGTGGCGGGTTTTTTGCGTAACGTATTCTTTATCCATCCCATTAATTCTGTTGCAATAAACCCAGTCTGTGATTGATGTTTATCTTTTGTTTGATGCGCTTAGAGCTATCGACTTTTATTGGCGCTCACAAAACCAATTATGTTCTAAGATATTTTAACGTTTTTGAAAAACAATCATTGCGTCTGCACCTATTATGCCAATGTCAATTTTTTAGAACTTTTGAAAGGCAACATAAGCGATACAACTAACGGACGGATGATTTGACAATAAGTTTCGCATCAAATTTAGAAACTAGTTAGCCTTGATCGCAACGACTGTGCTTCCATATCCTGTTGTTAACCTTATGTTTGAACGCGGCGAAGAGTTATTAGAGCGGAACGGAACGGGCTGTGCACTCACCGATTGGAAATGGTCCTGAGCCCGGGTCGGCGACAGAAGACCAGCAGCGCCAAGGAGTTGGCGGCGGTCGACACCAGGAACAGCGCGAGGAGCAAGATCTCCTCGACGAGCCGGTCCTTCGCTTCCATCCCCTCTGACATCAGCGCACGTCCAGGAGACAAGGGGGCCGGCTGTTCCATTCAATAGTCATCACTGTACCACTTGTGAACACTTGACACGCAATCTAACACTCTCAGTTCGTATTTCAGTCCAACTGCAGTTTAGTCGCGTAAAGTTTGGAGAACACGCTGGTCGGTACGGCCGCGTCTTTCTCGCTCCGCTGTCGAGTGACAACTGAATCGCGGTAACGCGCTCTCCGCCTGGCGGGAAGCAGCGGCTCGCCGTCCCCACTTACCGGTCGCCGTCTTTTCGCGGCAAATGTTTATAGAAAAAGCGATCCTCGACCATATTCCGTTATGATAAGGATTTACAAATTGCACAATGCCCATGCATCTTTGGCACTCTCACTTGACAACATTCGAAACATTCGTTGCGTTAAGCCGTTTAATTCAACCGCCGTTCGTCGAGTTCCATTGTACGCGATAGGTAATGTTAAGTGCTTACGGCTGTCGAATTTTTAACGTTCAAGGAAACTAATGAAGTACGTGTCTAGAGTGTGGACATACTTGTGAGAAAAAGGTCTCGCTCCAAAGTTCACAGTAATCTACGCGATTTGATCTATTTCTATTTGATTTCGAATGAATATATTTTGTTCCATAAATTTGTTCGGTAGAACAAAACCAACCTACATTGATTAATGAACAAACAGCACCTATCAAATCTAATATTAACAATCATAATTAACTATGAACTATACTGTAGATAGGTACTTAGGTAACATTAAACTTAAATGGAATTACAAAAGCATACATCATTAAGTGTCTCTTTATAAAAACATGGAATATAAAGAATTTTGGACATGTATTATTTAATCATAACCTACCTATATTTTTAAAAGCTTTTGAAAGCTTCTCACCGCTGCGAGATTTGAAAATAAGCCCTCCGGGTTCCGTAAACAACACTAAGGCTAAAAATAGCACTATTTTCTATGGGAGACGGTGGCAAGCAATCAAGCAGTAAGTGATAACTGTCTACTATAAAAATGAATACACATTTACATTTTAAAATAATAAAAAAGAGGTTCTGACGAATAACACAGCAAGTGTAGATCATTCTGAAGATAGAAAGAAAAGTGTTATCACGTTTTAAATTTTAACTATCACAACGATCAAATTTTTATGTGAAAAGTTGACAAGCTGGTAGACGTTTCACCTGATGTTAAGTGAATACCGCCGCCCATGGACATCTGCTACACCCGAGGGTTGCAGATGCTTGGACAGCCTTTTGAGAATTGGGCTCCGGCTACCTCACTCACCAAACGAAAGGCGAAAGTATTATACTTCCACTTTACGCCGGTCTTTTGTGAGGTCGTGGTACTTACCCGGGCGAGCCTGCCCATTCGTGCAACAGCGGAGGCTGCTGGGTGGCCCTACAACCGTAAAAATATATACAAAATAAAAGAACAAAAATCGGTCAAGTGCGAGTCGGACTCGCGCACGAAAGGTTCCGTACGATTCATTATCTATACAAACGGCATAAAAATCATGTCTGTTACATTCGAGCCCCACTTCAATATTTTTTATTGTTTTTTAGTATTTGTTGTTATTGCGGCAACAAAATACATCAACTGTGAAAATATCAACCATCTAACTACCACGGTTCATGGAATACACAGCTGGACAGACAGACAGTGAAATCTTAGCAACGGGGTCCCGTTTTACCCTTTGGGTACGGAACCCACAGGTAGAGCTACTCGTATTAGCGGAATATAATCTAACGAGGGCGATGACATACCGTTGGCGATATCTGCAATCGCGCCTACAGCGGATGATCTCATGGCGGTGGACAAACGCGACGGGAAAACAGTCGGATAATTTAGAACAATACCGTCGCCTAACTGGACTACCACAAATGGACAAATTAAAAAAAAATAGAATATCGTGCTAAATTTTTTTTTTTTTTGTCTAAATGATAATTCTATTAATGATAATTAATCCGTTACCGACCAGGGAACAGAAGTGTCATCACTGATAATTTATGTATAAACACCAGTGATAATTTATGTTTGTGTTTATTGTTAAATAAGGAATGATTTACGAATTGGCCACTGCTTTCAAATAATTGTTAGAAAAATGAAAAATTAAAAAGAAAGCAAAAATAAAGGTCGCAGCACAATATGCCAACCTTTCTCAAAGTTAAAATATATTTATTCAATATAGGCTTAATTAAGCTCTTATTGAACGTCAAAAAAAGAACCGGCTAGAAACTGCGGTCTCGTTCTCTTTCTTGTTATTTTTAAGCTATTGCATAGCTTTTATCGTGGGCTTTGAGCGCGGCCGACGAATCAAGAAATTCCGTAACGAAAATAAAACCTAACACCACCCACTCCGCCTACCACGTAAGAGGAAAGATTTGATTGTTTGTATGCATTGAATAGGTTCCAAAAGTACTGAACCGATTTGAAAATTTCTTTCACTGTGGAGAAGCTACATTATCCCCGGATGACATAGGCTATATTTTATTTTCAAAAAACTATTACTAAAACTTCAATAATGTAACCCAAAGTGTACAAAAATTACCTAAAATATTCTTTACATCGCGTGCGCTGCGAAAACTATTGATGATTGTATTTTGTGATGCAATTATACAAACTCATTTAGGTATATAATCAGCAGCAGCCAGGGGTCTTGCAAGTGCAGAGCAAGAGTCATTTCCATTTTCGTCCAACGATATGGCGTTCATTATTTTATTTTACAATACTAACTGATATGCGATAATTATCAGATATCTACCGTTCTGATACTAAACAAAAGTTATGTGTTAACATAACTTTGCATAAAATAGCAAATGGAGCCGTAACGATAACTCTCTAAGACTGAACTTCACAAATCTGCAATTTAATTCTTACAAAGTGCTAACTGTTCTCTATGAGTTACCAGCTGTTAAACGCATAACTTTATTTTTGAAAGTTTCGAATTTATAAAGGAAATGTTCGCTGAAGTGGATTTAGCATGACTGACGGCCGGTTTCTGAAACACTGATCATCGTAGATGTCAACTAATCAGCTGTCAAATGACTTTTCAAATGTCATATGAGTTGCTAAAACGATGGTTAAACTCATTCATCTGATCATTTATATCATTAAGAAGATCATTCTAGTCAAATCAGAGAGTTTAACCATGCTTTTGGCAACTAAAATGAAATTTGAAAAACCATTTGACAGCCGATTAGTTGACATTACGATGATCGGTGTTTCAGAAACCGGGCGTCAATGACGCGCCTAAACACAAATCGCCGATTGGCCTTGTCAAATTTGAGTGAAAACGAACAATTCGAGAATTGCGCTTCTTTATTAGTATTGAGATGACGAACTCTTACACAATTATGTTAAATGTCTTACACAATTTTAAATAGAAAACCTATTAAACAAATTCACTACGAACATATAAATTAACAGATTGAGAACTGTATTTTTTGTAAGCAGTTTCCGTTTTTCGACTTCTGGTGTGCAAGCGTTGCCTTTAACTAATCTACAGGTTTTCTTCTTGAAGCGTATAGTACATAAATCGTATGGTACAGTAATATGTACTATTATTTAGCAGTAGTAATGCCCAAGTTGAGCAGTTGTAGTGTTTAGTAAGTAGTAATGCCCAAGTTGAGCAGTTGTAGGTCACAAAGTTTACAAAAGTACCGAGATACAGGTGTCAGGCCGTGGTACTTCACCGGATAAGCCTTCCTATTCGTGGCACAGCGGAAGCTGCTGCGTGGCCCTAGTCCATTGTGCAATGATTTCGTCTAGGGATGGACAAAATGAGAAAGTATATTGATATATCGATATTTACAAAAATATTAATATCGGTCTCGATATATCGAATAGAAAATATGGATTTATAGATATTTTATTTTTAGGCCTTGTCGTCGAAAAAAGACTTATGCCAAGTATTAATAAATATTTGAATGTACGGACTCTGTACCGGATTTCGATATTGAATATTTTATATCGATATATCGGATCAAAATATATCGGTTAAAAATATCCATACCTATATTTTATAAAAAATATCGATATATTTGTATTTTTCGGCATTCCTAATTTCGTCGTCGATGTGTACCTATATGTTTAAAATGTCATTGAGGATAGTCTGTAGAGAAAAAAATTGTTTAACATAAATACTCCAAATGAACATAAGTAATAAAAGTTTCACGTACAAATTCAATTTACTTAAATTGAAGAACGTTCCGATACTTCGAAGATACCAATTACGTTTCTTGCGTAATTGGTACGAAATATACCTACGAATACGAATACAATTGATATACCGCCATAATTATACAGCGTGTCGTTACCATCGCGACAATAAATGAACACACATATAGAGGAAAACTTTTAAAAATTGTATTGTAAACATTTACATTCTTTAAATATCAATATTTACAGAGTTTTTAAATTTTCCAAAACAAACAATTTTAGAACACCTTACATATAAAACTATAATATAAAGTTCATTTGTAAAGGTCGCAAAGCATATGAATGGGTTGAATGCATTTAAAAGAGATAAAACATACTGTAAGAAGGAGAGGCTTGTAATGCGGCGCTGTGGCAACGAATGAAAAAGTCTCTGACTGTATGAATCAGTCAGTTCTAGTTGTACAGGTCGATTCCGCTTCGTGCTCTCGTACGGAACGAACCTCTCTCTAAGACGGAGGGCTCATGCCACCCGAATTAGACGCTACTCGCAACTTCGGTTGCAATTTAAATATTTGTGCAAGCAGTGCTGCAGTTTAGTGTTGTGCTCGTAGGCAGGTTCCTGTTCTGTAAGTAGAATTCCATACACACTTCTCGCCTCAGAGGCGGCATTGTTTTATTTAATAACTGTGTGCTTGTTGCGATAGGCGACAGCTAGGTACCCACCCTAGCGCACCTAAAGCGCAGGCGAATTAGTTGTTAGTTTTAGGCACACACCTCCCTGCCGCAATGTGGGGAGGCCTATTTAGAAACTACACGCCGGTAACCGCCACTACTTTCCGCAGCGTAACCAAGTATTTACGCGAAAATAAGGTAGGTTTTCACACCTACTCG